TTCGTTTTATTCCTTTTGACAGTCATTTCGTTCTTTTCTTTTTTTTTTTTTTTTTTATTCAACATTAAAGAAGTTTTCGATATGAAACGAGAAATTCATCGAGGTAGAAAATTCCCAGTTATTCGTATCTCGGTTTGTCTTATCTTTTGCATAGTTTCTGCATAGTGAAACGATATCTTTCTCATTACATCTTTTGAATTCTTTGCTATCACGATCGTGCCTTCGGCAAAAGATATGATCCATGCAAAGATTATCGTATTATAATATTACAGGAATTAATGATTAGAATGATTTTATAATATTAAAATTACCAGTGTCAAAAAAATCTACTCTTTTTTTTTATTTTTATCTTTAACTTTATATATATTTTTGTACTCTGAAATTTCGAAAAGAGATTTAAAGATAATTTAATCTATTGAATTAAAAATATAATTGCATATTTGATTTCATGTTGACGCTCTTTTATTTAGAAAGATGACAATTCTTAACTAAATATTTCGAATATTTGAATTTTGTCGAATTCTTTATTTCACATTTGTCTTTAAATATTCTAATGTCCTAACTTTTTAATCTTGCTTTTTAAAAAACTGCTGTTGCTATTCCTTATTTTTCTATTTTCTTATTTTATTTTCTTGTTTTCTTTAAAGAAAGTAAATTTTAAAAATTGAATAGAATAAAAGTGAAATTTTATATAAAATAAAATTCATTCATAAACATGTATATATATAATTTATCATATATATCATAACTTACAGACAATTGTTTATAAATATGTAAAACACTAGAATGTAAATTTGTCCTGTAATAAAACTCAGATAAAAATGAGATCAATATTTAGGAAACTTTTGTTAAAACTTTTGTTGATATTGCAAATAGAACTATATTTCTTCTTTTATTCGTATTTACAACGTTTGATATATTGCCATTTTTTATCATAAATTTCATAGTTTGTGTCGAATATTAAAATTTTTCCTGAAAATAATACTTCGAGGGAAAAAATGAAGATGAAGAGAGAAAAGAGAATAAATTTTTTAAATCCCTATCTATTAATTCTAAATTATTGATCTCGAACGATGAAGATTTTAGATTTATTCGACTAAATTAGAAATCATTTTTTGAGAACGTTTTATTTTTAAAGGATGAATAATAAAAAGATAAATGATTATATTGAATGCAAGAAGTTTTTGTAAGAATGAAAAGTATAAATATTAATAAAATTAACTTTCTGTGACTATTTTAAGAAAAAGTGGATCGTTCGATAAAATAAATAAAATATTCTACTGAACTTTATTGATAAATTATCTTCGAATATTGAATATATTGAATGTTCGATAAATTTTAAAAGTATTAAAAATAATATATAATTATCGATAAGGTGAAAAGATTGTATACAATATAATTCATAAAATATTTAATTATATCTTTATGTCTTATTTAAAAGAAAATTATTGATGTTTCTCGACAATTATGTTTTCGGCATTGATCTCAATTGTCATTTATGGACAAATAATATTTAAAAAAAAAATAATCCCTCGATTAATTAAATAAATAACTCATCAAGTATTTCATATTCAGATTT